TCGTAACTCGCACTTGAAAGATTTTATAAGCTATCGATCTCGGTGCGCGCACACAAAGACTTTTTCAACAAAAAATGATTTTTCCGAGAACATGACACACTTATATGGCCTCATTTATATCAAGTTTACATAAAGTCGTCAATTTAGCGCGTGTTTACATTTTTGAAAACGTTTCTCGCCGAGAATGTGGACACAAGAAATAGTGTGAGCTTCATCGCTTAAATTTCAACGTGCGAAAATTTCAATCTCTCCGGCCAGGATACATACGTAGGTATACGCTGATACCTTATCCAGATCACTCGTAAACCATAGCTTAGAAAGAATCCACGTATAAAGTATGTCGTTTCCGAAAGAACACGTTACGCTTTCGTCCATTTTTTAAGTCGATATCTATCCGGAACTCGCTTTCTGACAGCGACTCCGATAAATCGCAGCCGCCGAGTTGAGCAGTTGCTGTGAGATGAGAATTGTTTATGGACCGTGGAACATTATTCTCTTTTTTCTCGGCAACATGACGTGCGTGTAAATTAATTCACATATAGAGAAAAATAACTGCATAAAAGCTACTGTGTGACGATTTATACATCAGGTCCATTGAATAATTTATGTATCGATATGAATAACATTTCTTATCTACAGAAATTATCATATATTATAATAATTGTATATCACATAATTAAATTAATAAAATATTTCTTGCATTGTTTAGTATTGGTATACTTGAATAACTTTTATCTAATTAATTTTTTACTTTATTTAAATGTATATATGTTTTATTGATTTATTTAATTTTTATATTAGATACATGAAATTACAACTGGAGAATCATATCAAATGTAAAATATGTTATGACAATATTTTATAGTTTTTATCTCTTCAATACAACGCTCGAAGACGCGAAGACGCGATAACTAATAAAAAGAAATAATCAGTGAACTAATGGTATTCATGAGAATAAATGGTTTTCAATTATTGTTGATGATCGAAGACTATCGACGCAACGATTATTAAACGATTGTGCTATTACTAAGGAAAGAAAAAACTTTCCTTCGATTCATTAGTGGCACAAATATTTTTATACTAATAAGAGATGGAAGGCATTTTTGTATGAACCATTTCTGCTATTAAATTATTATTAAAGTGTCAAGATTATTATTAATATCAACTTTATTTAAAAAACATTTAAAAGTTCATATATGAATCTGAAATATTGAAAGAAAAAAATGCTTCATTATTTGACATTCAATTGCTCTTCAAGCAAATGACATTTATTTAATGTTACTCGACGTACGCGACGAACAATTTATTTCTTTCAAAAATAGAAATAGATATCGCGCGGAAACAAGTGCGTGTTTTAACACTGCAATATTTGAAATATTCCGCGAGTAGGTATGGACAACGTTTACTTTCCGCTTTATATCCATGGTGCTTAATATTCACGATCTATATATATGATATGTAGATTCGATATCAGCGATGCTTTCGCATCGAATACAGAAAAGCGCGGGCCTTTGCGCGAATTATTAATGCTTTAGAATCGATATAAAATATCGAGTAAATTATTTAATAGATAGAATTCTTTCTTCGCAATTTTTTTTGCTACATAACAGTGGAAAAGTGTAAAAGCTGTCATCTGTTTCAGAAATTGAGATACTCATGAGTATTGTGTTTAACATAGAATGTTGGCGAAGCATGTACAATATACGCCAAAAACAATGCGATTTTAATCACTATTATGTTTGCTGAGTGTGACACAGTAACGCAGTGATTGTAATTAAAGAAAATCATATCGAATAAATATTTGATAGAAGGATAAAATATTTGTTATAATCAAATTTGCCCCCATCAATTCACTTTATTTAGCTAAACTAAATTGAAGTGTTAGTTGTAAAAGTCGCGAGTTTTTTTTGCGTATACTGTATATTCACTATCACTAAATCTCTCCGAATATTGTGACAGAAGAATCAAATTTTAAATTAATATTACAATTTGTGATTACTATCCCGTTTTAATCGAAATTAGAGCCTGTCGATGTCAACTTTTTTTTAATATAAATGTGTATCAGGATAATGAGAATGTACATATACTGTGAATCGACTGATTAGAAGTTAATAATTGCTGCATTAAATATAAATGTTCTGATAGTTTAAGGATCATCAATAGTTATTCTTGTGACAATATTTTGTTATATTATAAGAAATGAGTAAGAAAAAATGCAGGACGCGTCACCAAAATACGCATATTAAGAAAAATGAGTTACGAGCAATAGAATAGAAAGCATTATACCAATACAGAAAATTTCTATGTCATTCCTAAATTTTACAAAATCTTGTCACGTATTTGAATATATAACCGAACAAGACATTAATCGCGAATAATAATGTCATCTGCAATAATTATTTTTAAATAGAATAAATATTTGTAAAGGCGATAAATTTGTTTATTAAGTAAATTAACGGAATATTAATTATCGTTCGTATGCCAATTTTACCATCGTTTTGACGAATAGACGAGAATCTTTGTTTAATTTTCTTTTTTTCGAATCGAGAAATAATTGGAAATTGCTTTTCATAGTGATTGCCTACAATCGTATAGTTTTTCGATCCATCGTATCCTGAATAGACCCGTGTAAGATTGTAAAATTATTTTTTTGACGACAGAATCGAGGTTGTTCAGCATGACATTTCTTTGCGATTCCCTGCGGTGATGTCCCGTTTATTGGGACTTGTTCGCGCAAACATTTCGCCGCAGCGCCCATGTTTCATGCGATATGAATAATAATCTATGGGATGACTACATCGCTCGCATGCTTGACACGAGCGTGAGTCAAGGATTTGTAATAACGCGATCGTTGGACATCTTAATTGATTTTAATTGACATAATCGCATTTTATAGTAATAAGATGACTGTAAAAGTATTTTGTAACGTAAGCTGCAAATAAATATATCTTGGTTCATTTGTAACACCGAGATTATATCGATTTAAATTTTTCCGAACATCGACATTCATGAACGAATCGTTCCATTACATTCCTTGACACTCGCGGTAGAAAAATGATTCAAAGTGTTAATTGTGAAATAAATGTAGGTACGTCTAATTACAAATTCCGTGGCAATCTGGCGAAAAAGCTCGCGTAAAGCTCTCGTTCGTTAGGCGACAAGAGCAGCAAAAGTTACGCAAATATGTACAGACAATGTCAGTGAGGAATGTTGAGGCTCTAGTACGTAATTACAAGCGAGGATGCGTAATTTTAATGCTTTAACTCTTTGTAGTTGTAAGACCAATTTTGCGTGCCAAGCGTTTTACTTGTAAGAGCACCGGAAGTGTCTCAATTATTATGGTAAAAATTCTCTCGGGACAATTTATTGCTCAATAAATAATGTTATTGCTCGTAGTAGCAGAACGTTCGGCACATGTTTTATTCAACAGCCACTCGGTACTCGCAAAGGATCGAGGAAGCACGTGAATCGTCGAAACCATCGAAATCGTCTGAGATAGAAAAATTTTTGATGTATTTCATCACATTACCTACTACATCATAAATTACTATATCATCATAAATTTTCATCTTTCGTTTTTATGTTTATTACACGCATAAAAATATTACGTCACCGAAATATTTTGCATATATTATCATGTAGGATTATTCACGAAACTATATATTGTAATGTGCTATTTTAACATATTATTTACACTTTAACAAACATGTGTCTATTTATTAACGAGAAATATCCAGAAATATTTATGTCAATAAACCAATAAAATAATACTTTATACATATGGATGTTTTTTATATACATATATTATTATATATATTATGCATTTACATATATATTGATTAAAAAATTGCTATTAGTATAAATCATTTTCTTATAATGTATTTATTGTATTATAAAAACGTACGTGTCAAGTATGTTTTATTTAATAGTTTCTTCATAAAGCTTGCTAAGCACGTGATTATTCTGCACACGTTCTATTTCAACGTAATTAGTTTTTTTTCTAAATTGTCAATATCTTTCTGTGATTGATATTAAAGAAATAAAATGCGTCTGTAGATTGATTTTCGCACACTATTAATTTATTTGATCGAAGTTACTTTAAAGATGTTTTTTAAAATTCACGAGCTTCCTTAAAATCACCGCCAATTGAACTGTTTCACATTTTTCCGTAACTTTTGAAACGATGCCGCGGCGCGAGATGTACCGCATCGAATATACCGTCCTACTCTGAAATGCAATATGCACGACAATGGTACCTCTCTCATCGGGGTTGAGTGGACACTCGTTTTTTGTTTAGTTTCATTATTCATTGCAAACAGTTACATACTGGTACGCACATGCACTATCGATTTACTGTGTAACAAATTTAAATTAATTTAGATTAACTGGTGGTGTAAAGTTACCTTAAAACAATTTGGAAATAAATACATATGTGTTATAGAAAACCAATTTTAGTTTCGCTGCAATTCAAAAGGGAAAAGTAAATCTATTTAAATTATACAATTAAAAGTTACTATAATAAATCGCAGTTACTTCGATTTGTAAAAAAAAAATTTATCCAAACTATAAATCAAATGAAACTTAATAGTTGCAAATCGCTATGAATACATAAATCGTAATTTTTATTCTGATTTTTATTCTTTTTTATTCTGAATAAAAAATAAAATACGTATCGTATAAAACTTAATTAAAATCATCATATGATCAATTTTACGGATTGCCATGCACAATAAAAAAAGACACACGCGCACAATACGTATTTTGATCGCAATTTGCATAGCAGATCAACACACAAAACCACTATGTGTTAAACGTGTGCCCGCTCGACCCTCAGTTTTTCTCTTTCTCTCTCTCTTTCTCTCTCTCTCTTTCTCTCCCTCTCTTTTTCTCTCTCTTTCTCTCTTGGCAACATGCTGTGCCACTACGATATGTATATATATCAGATCAATGTGTATCCATAATAATCAAAATCCGAAACAAGACGCAGCTGATGAACTCACTTGTTGTAGAGCACTATGTCAGGCCGCCATATGTGATCGGACGGCACGTGCAACATGTGAACTCCACCGTACTCCTTCGGCTCCCATCGCAGTTTGTAGTCGTACCATGACTTGAAACAGCCAATACAAGAAATATAAACATATTATTGATACCCTCCTGTTAATGGATTGCGTAAAATCTATAACATGATTAATAATGCGTCGTGGAATTGCAAATAAGTGGAACAGCAAATTTATTCACGATAAATATAATTTTTAGTAATCGCGATTAATAATTGCAATTTTCCATTGTTATTAACATTAATATTTCATAATAGAATCTTTGTTTAATACTCCGGTATCAATAATTCATAAATAAAAAGTAATAAATCTTCCGCAAATAAAGCTTCATGGATAACAAAATTAAATTTTGTAATTAATTTTACAAGTACTCAAATAAAATATTAATTTTACGTAATTTTAACATGAAACTTAATTCCAGAGATATGTGTGTGTGTGTGTGTGTGTGTGTGTGTGTGTGTGTGTGTGTGTGTGCACAAACTCTGAAAATTGAAAAATCGTAATAAATGATATCGAAATTTGTGGAAAAATTCCGATCAAAACATTTGATATTAGTGCAAGAATAGACATAAATAATCGCTTATATGTCATCAACTAAAAGATTGCAACACATTTTTTTCAATGGGTTCCGAAATATAGTTTGCTCACTGAGCGATTGATTCTTACTTATAAATCTAACCATTTGGGTTCAACCGCTCTACGAGCAAGACTGATGAGTTCCGAAATCCATCAAAAAAATGTGTTGCAACCTTTTAGTTGGTGAGTGTATATGTATATATATTAGACTGACGAGGAAAAAAGAAAATATTTTGTTTTAATCGGCCTCTCAGCTCAAAAGCTTCCATTTCATGCCAAAAGAACACCCCTAAATTTTTATAAAAAAAAGGTCGCTAATGAACGATACTTAAATCAAAGTTTTGATATGCTTAATTTGATGCAAAAATGGCTTAAATCGGATTTTAAATGTGATACTGTATGTTTTTTTGGTCGCTGAACATGATGCAATCATTCATTTAGCTTTACGATATACGCCTTAAGAAATATAGTCCGATTAATGTTTATTAATAGGGGAAAATAAAAAAATATTTATTACTTTATTGAATATGTGATTTATTTTCAATTTTTAATTATAGTAAATGTTCAAAATATTTTCCGTTTGATTCAATACATGCTTGAACACGTCGAATCATGAACTGTTGCACTCTTTTAAAGATCCCGGGGCAATTACGAATTGTCACAAATATCAAAGATACTTTGGCGTAGCATGTTTTCATTGGCAACCGGAACTTCATAAACTAAGGATTTCAAGTATCCCTGCAAATAAAAATCTAGAGGATTTAGATCGGATGATCGTAGAAGCTATGCAATTGGTCCTAGAAATATTTTTTGCTATATCTGACAGTAACAATGAATTTGTGATGCATAAGAACTTTTTTTCATGTTTTGGTGGTGAGTTAGAAGATTGTTACCTTATTTTAGTTACATTCTATATATAATTGACCATTTACTTATTTACAGTCATATTTTATTATACTTTATTATTTTTTATTATAATTTATAACTATTTAATAAAAAAATTTATATTAAAAAGAAGAGTTGACGTGTTTAATGAATTATCTACATTAAGAAGTATTTCTGCATTTGATTTAAGATGCGATAAATAGTGTGTAACGTAATATAATTTCGACCTACATTTTGCTTTTTCCTCTTTTTCAACCAGTTGTCGCCCTAAAGCCCAAATGTAATTTCTTATTATAATGATTTCTGTTGCTTTGTGAAGTGATAAAAGCCACATTCTCTCTCCCTGAAGGTTACTGTCGCGAACTAAAACCTGAGAGACAGTAGTGCACTTTTCCCCACAAATATTTCTTGTCGGCATTTTCCCTGAAAAACCCATTCTTTTTCTGTGATTCGAGAGAGAATTTATTCTATATGGCTGGTGAATACTCAAGAAAACTGCTTTTACATATTCTCTCTCACATGTTCCTTACATTCTTTCGTTCGTTCGCTCGTAAAAATTTTAATAATAATCATTTCAAAGATTTTAAAGTGTAATATTTTCCAATTTTTGATAATAGCCTTTGTCATTTGTAACTAAAATCTATAAAAATCTTTTTAGAATAACTACTCTAATATTAAAAATATATCCAATTAAAGCTTGAATTAAAATATTGAGAGAAAGAGGATAAAATTTAATTTTATTATCTAATACTTAAAAATGCTTGAGATTAATCATTTTGTCATTAGAATAGATAATATTTAATATGTGTTATTTTATTTAATTATATGTAATGTAACACATTTCCAAATTATAAAATGAAGTCAATTATAGAAATTATATACTCTAGAAAATGTTTCATGTCAATTATAGAAATTATATATTCTGAACATTCTAATATTGTGTACAATTTAATATAATTTTGTCAAAGGATGTTCTACGCAACAAAAGAAAATTTTTTTCGAAAATGTAAAATAGTTTCAAGTTTCCACTTGATACAAGAAAATCGTACAAAATGTCATAATCTGTACGTGAGTAACGTAATGTTTTCTTCCATGGACACATATGTACAGACAATTTTGCCGGACACGTGACACGCGTATGATTCCAAAAAGGATTCGAATTTGTTCCGCGCAAAGGCAGGGGGTGAAGTGAAAATTCGGTCTTATATTCTTAGTTAGTTTGATTCTTTTTTAATTAGACGTTGTTACACAATATCTTATCGCATAATAATGATTAACGCAATTTTCAATTTTATATGTGATTGGATAATTATATAGTGCAAATAAAAATAAAAATTTTACTTCATACATAAATGACAAATCACAATCCTTTTTTGCGCAATTCCTAAGTGAGTAAATTATATTTGTTGGCTGATAATTGATCAATTTTGAAGTTAACCATTAATGTAAACACATCTAAAATAATTATTAATTATGTAGTAATTATATAATCATATTTATCAAATAATAATTAATAAATATTATAGAAATAACCAGAAATAATCCTTGATTATTCCTGTTATTCGTTGATCGTGATTATTCATCACATAATTATATTCATTAATTACCGATTTAAATATTCGACGATGAAACACAATAATAATTATTAATTCAAGTTTCAAGTAAGTTTCAAGCTCAAAATAGAAGTGTAATAAATAAACCTCAAAATAAACCATAATCATCATATTATTTAAATCATCATGTGCATGATTCGCAATATTTTGATATGAAACAAGAGACTGTTGTAATAGGAAATTCATCCTTCGCTTCGCGCAAGGCATTGTAGTAGGAAATAGCTGAGGGTTGCAGCTATTTACATGTCTATTAATCACGACATATTGAGGCACATACATATATACGTATGACAGCCTAATTACGCGAAACATTCACATAGAATCGTGAAACACTCAACGGTACACACCTTATGCGTGCACATATGCGTGTACACCCTCAGGCTTCGCGACATCGTGCAGCTGTTGTACCATCGCTAATATAAACCGCGGTTCAAGTACCATAGTTAGTAATTAATTCACTTATGAATCAATTATTTCAATAGACTCGGTGCTCAGTCACCAATGCCACAAACTTCAAATCATGTGGAAACTCATTGGTTAAAATACCTATCTCTGCAAACATGTAATCTCCTTTTGCGCATAAATTTCTATTTAAAAAGTTAATTAATACATTAAATAGAGAAAAACCTATTATGATCAAAGTTTGATGTTATAGATATATAGTTATAATACATATATAGTATATGTATTTTAAATAAATTTATCTCAGAAACAAATCGAGGTAATATTTTTTGCAATAAGTTCATTACAGGTTTTAAGATGCTAGTAGGCATCTTAAAATCTTTAAATCAACAATCTAAATAAATTTGGGAGGATTATTAATATCAGATTAATTTCGGATTGATTGTGTTGAAAGTCCGGTGCGCAGTCATACTTCTGAGATAATTATTTAAAGTACATAATATGGATTAATCTAATATTTAACTTTTATCATAATTGGCTATTTCCGTACTTAATTGAGGTATAGTATTCATACAAACGGTTCTGTTTCTAATCTTAATAAAGATTAATTAATATATTGTTAAATAATATAGTAAAAGAAATATTTTATAAGTCACGTGAAGTTATGAAAAAGTTCTATTATTATTCACACTCCGCTACTTCCTCATAAAAATAACGATATCCTTTTATGTACTTCGAGATAAATTTAATAGCAGAAAACGCGATTTTAAAACAACGAAAATAGTGAATCTGTGTTAAAAAAGATTAATGCTTTTTTTCAATTGCGTTTTAAAAAATGGTATCACGATAAAGGCCCATTGTGTATCATATTTATGTCTATCGCGTTTTACATCATATGTCTTCGCTGTTAAAAATTTGGCAAGCACTCTAGAGTTTGACATTTGCGGTATCATAAATTATTTTCGCGCTCTGTGTTAATACTACCATTAATATATTTAATACTTGATACGACGCAACTTCTCGTTATACGGTTTATGCATTTGGAGGGTTCGTATAGATTATGAAGTACATTGATTTATGGACCAACATCTGGCCTCGTTAAGTAAATATTCATATTTCGCACGCATCGAGTTATAGCGTTAGTTATGTCAGTATGATCGATTGTGTGTTTATGTACGTTTTACTAATTAAATAGTGAAAAAGAGACATGCGCGATAATGATTCTTGCCATTATTATGCATCGAGCAGCAATACGAAACGTAGATAAATATCATAACGTTTTTTTTAAATCTTGATTATGAGAATTTTATTATCACAAAATTATATTATGACAAAATAATAAATGGAATTCTGTCTCAAATTGACAGATTGTCTAAAATGAGTCCTAAAACAAACAAAACTTCTAAATTATTCAGTTGGCAAAAACTATTCCGATCATGAAGAGCTGACGGCAGTCGCTTTACCGAGCAAAGGTCATCAACCCCATTGAGTCTACAATTTTCCCTCGCTCATTCGTCCTTTCGTTCCTCGGCGTTTCGCTCGATTACGCCCGGACACGCTTGCACATATACATA